GTGAAGAAAAAATCAGAGTTAACTTTTTGGGTCCGGTGACCCTTCCTCAGAACAGACCCGAAACGTTAACTCTGATTTTTTTCTTCACCGATGCTGCCAGACCTGCTGAGCTTTTCCAGCAACTTCTGTTTTAGATCCTGGCTCTGTGTGTATTTGTTGCAGCCTGAGTTCCGGATTTTGTCCGGTATCTTAGATGTTAGAGAAGTCCAGTGTCTTGTCCAGTATTTTAGATGATGGGGATTTTTGCTCAATCCTTTACACCCTAAACCTCACCTGCCACCCAAATAAAGATGGACAGATCTGGGTGGTTGGGAAAGTAATGAGATGTTCACCCAGGGAATTATACTGTTAACAACCTCCCCAGCAGTGGCAAACCTGCTAGTGTGGAACCATAGGATCGGCCTGTGGTTTACTCATGTCCTCTATCCAGATACCATTTGAGTTTGGTTGAAAAGAATGTTTTGCATATAAGTCAAAGTTCTTTAAGCAACTGCTGTGAAGATATTCCTCAAAAGTTCACTCTTTTATTTGTGATGGTGGCACAGTGGTTAGCACTGCTGCCTCACAGCGCCAGTGACCGGGGTTCAATTCCACCCTCAGGCAACTGTCTGTGTGGAGTTTGCACATTCTCCCCGTGTCTGCATGGGTTTCCTCTGGGTGCTCCGGTTTCCTCCCACAATCCAAAGATGTGCAGGCTAGGTGGATTGACCATGCTAAATTGCTTATAGTGTTCAGTGATGTATAGATTAGGTGGGTTATGGGGAATGGGTTTGGGTGGGATGCTCTGAGGGTTGGTGTGGACTTGTTGGCTGAAGGGCCTGTTTCCACACTGTAGGGATTCTATGGTCGGTGCCTACAGCTTCAATGTATAACTCATTGAAACTGGGAATTTACAGTATGGAAATTTTGCACGAAGAAGTTACCTTGTTCATTTCACAGCACAGGATGCTTGACCACAAATATACTACACCACTGAACCACTATCATTTTGACTGGACATTGTGTATGCTGTTCACACAACTGAAATCCAATTTCTCCCTCTCAGAAACTCATAGGAAATGATTCATTTGCAATTCCATATTGGAACTTTGCCACAGGAAGAAATGACTGTGATGTCTGCACAGTGCCTTTGTTGGGATCCATGCACCTTGATGACCCGACATTAATTAATCAGAGTTCCAGGTTCTCGCAGTGGGAGATTGTGTGCAATAGGTGAGTGATTGAATGCTGCAAATTGGATCTGAATTTTGAATTAAATGCTAATGCAAATCTTACATTGAAATGCATTGACTAACCTTCAAACATGCACCATTGGCTGCAAAGGGCTTGAAAAGCACCGTATAAATGCAATTATTTCTTTCTTGCCAGGTCGCTAGTAAGTCCATCAAAATTCTGAGTATATTTTCCTTAATAGACTTTCAGATGCCATTAATTTCTTCTACCACAATCCCAGCTAGGATGTTGTTCAGACTTATTCTATCAGTTCAATTTTTCACAAACTTCCCAGCCAGACCAAACCCTATGTTTCAATCATGGTAACTTCATAGATCCTATGTTGAAATTGGGGGCCAAGCTGTTAGTGAGTCATGACTGAAAATAGCACTGTCATGCTATATTACAACTTCGCAGATCTTTTCGGGTCCTTCCAGTGACAGCTCTGCCTTGGGATTGGATTTTACTGCAATGTTTGCAATTTCCTTTCAAGCATCAATTTTCAAGCTGTGCATCAATCTTGCCGTCGTTTTTTTTCTATCATGTGATTTGATGCCACACTAAGAGTTTAGAGTCAAGACAGAGTGACAGAGGAAAAATGAGGTTGCTTCTGGCTTATACTTCAAAATAACACTATTTATTACACATTAACACTGAACAGCGCTATACCTAAGAATCATGGATACATCACGCTCTGATTTTATTAATTAGGATTATTGTGTCTTTGAATATGTAAGGACTAATTTATCTTCTTCATGTGTTCATGTCCATGCACTCTCAATAATGTCTGGAGTTCTTGTCTAGTATATTGAAGTTTGATTAAGTGTAGCGAAATGTTGTCTGTTCTAGTTGCATCCACTCTGCCCAAATTATGCTCAGTGATATGCTGTTCTGTGACTTCATCACAAGGTTGCCCTAGGATCCTGACACCCTTACCAATTACCGATGTGGTTGTTGTAATCAACAAAACAATTAAGTTACCCAGTGCAATAATGCAAGTCAATTCCTTTGAAATATAAAGGCTCAGGACCAATATTGATTGAAGTTTGTTAGCTCTATTGTTTAGATACAGTAATCAAACAAAACCTCTAAGTTCATCCTCTCCTCACTGTGTCTTATTCTTGTTTTATTCTGATGTCCCCAAAAAGAGTAAAGTTGTAGACACTCATATTGTACAGTACTCGCTACGTGTCCATGGCAAGCATTTCTGTTGTAAAGATTGCCCCTTTTGTATTGGCATTCTAATATCTAATATTATTGTGGTGTTCATATAAAATTTGTAGTTTGGATGATTATAACCGCTTGGTCACTCTCTGCAATGGAACAAATGAAGGTCCAATAAGGAGGGCCTTCTTGGGAAAGAGCGGAATCCGGCTGCCAAGCATGGAGGATGTTCACCGTTGTATGTCTATTAAAGAATTTGATACTCCACCTTATTCCAAGAATTCTAATTTCAGTTTCAGGTAGGTAAACATACTCTTGGAGGGGGAAGAAACTGTTAATCTGTCGCTTTATACAGAATAAAAATTTCATGAAAAGACCAATGTTTAAGGGAAGCTGAAGATATGCAAGAGCTTATCTTACACCTCATCAAGTAGCAATCAGACGAATGTCCATGGCACATCCTGGCTGTGATCACTCAACATTTTGAGGGGTTCAATTGGGTTGGGGCATGTGTGTTGTTCTTTATGCATCAACTAAGACTGGAAAATGTGCTAAAAAATGTTCACTTCTGATGGAAGTGTGCAAACTACCATCTTGGGAAAGGAATTTGTGCACACGTTTCCAATAACTGCCACCATTCTTCAGAATAGCAGAATCATGAAGTTCATGAATATCAGCATACATTGTTTGTTTGAAGTCACCACTCTAAGCGTGACATTGAGTACAACATTCATTGGAAGTGTGGAGACCCCCAGCCAGTTCTGTTCAAAGGATTTTGCATGTTAAAATATTTTTGGTTGCAATAGCAACAGTGCTTCCCAATTTGAATCCTATGGAATGTTAAGCTACCTCATCACAATCTGAAGAAAAGGTGGGTGAGTTGGGTAGATTGCTTGCTAATGAAGATGTGCTATTAATCTAAGAGAAAGTATTTCACTTTTGCTTGATCTGAGGTAATTTGACACTAGTCCATGATTTAATTATCTTACTTAACTAGGTAGTTTTGCTCATCTTCTCACGTCAAACTCATTGACTGGATTTTTGAGCTTCAGAACTTTAAACAGATTAATGTTTAGAAATGGCTTTCATTCCCTCTTCTGAAAAATATGATTTTAACATATATTTTAAGTTTAATTTATTCTTTGAGTAATGCAGAATCATGGAACCTTTGTAAACCTATCAAGAATGTACTAGATCAGAGAATCTGTTCAAGGGAATACTGTTAGAATGTGGACTTATTTGCAGAAAAAAATGAAGCTATAAGGTAATGTGGCTAGAAAGACTTGAGAATAAGTGTCTTCAATGAAGCTGGTTACTCAGAATGGATGTCTGAACAAAAGGGAGATTCCTTTTCAAAAACCTATGCACTTCTGATTGTGGTAAACATTGAAGAGAATTGTTAATTGTCTTGTAAACTGAATTTGGTCAGTTCCTTGAAGATCCAAGAAGCAAATGACACCATTTTGATTTAGCCCTTTACCCTCTCTCCACCTCTCCCTTTCCCTACCTCCCCTCACTTTTGATAAAAACATAAGACCATAAGAAATAGGAGGAGGCCATTTGGCCCCTCGAACCTATTCTGCCTTTCAATAAGATCATGGCTGAACTTTTCATGAACTCAGCTCCACTTACCTGCCTGCTAGTTTAATTTAGTTCCTTTGCTGTTCAAAAATCTATCTACCTTTGTCTTTAAAGCATTCAATGAGATAGCCTCAACTGCTTCACTGGGCAGGGAATTCCATGGATTTACAACCGTTTGGGTCAAGAAGTTCTTCCTCAACTGAGTCCTAAATTTGCTCCCCCTTACTTTGAGGCTTTGCCCCCTAGTTTTACTTTCACCTGCCAGTGCAAACAACCTCCCTGTTCTCTATCTTATCTAGTCCCTTCATAATTTTATGTTTCTATAAGATTCCCCTTCATTCTTCTAAATTCCAAAGAATATAGTCCTAATCTACTCAGTCTCTCCTATAAGGCAAACCTGACAACTGTGGAATCAACCTAGTGAACTTCCTCTGCACCCCCTCCAATGCCAGTACATCCTTTCTCAAGTAAGGAGACCAAAATAGGTATATGAATAGGAAGGATTTAGAGGGATATGGGCTAAATGCTGTCAAATATGACTCGGTCAAATTGGGGTGTCTGGTTGACACGGTCAAGTTGCGCCAAAGGGTCTGTTTCCATTCTGTATGATTCTATGACTGTATGAAACTAAGTAAATACCTGCAGGTTCATTGTTGGGTTATTTTATTTTTCTGCCACTGATATAAATATACATACATTTGGAATGTGACTATACTTTGCTAAAATTTAACCAGGTGATCAAATGAGAATGGTCTAGCTGGTTGTGCTATGTCATTGCAAATCTTGTGCCAAAAAATGTTTCTTACAATCCATGTGTGACCTCGTAGGGTTTCCACTAAAAATTAAGCATGAAGGGTTTAAGACTGTTTGAAGGAGGTATGCTACATTTGGAGAAAGAAGGTAGGTCCCATAGAAAAGGATTAGCTGCTAAATGAGGAAGGAGGAACTGGGCTTTCAGTAGGAATCCAAATGTTGGTGAGTATTCGGAGAGCAACTGTCTCATCTAAGCTTTATCCAGTACCAACGCTTGACACAGCAGTGTTTCACAAACAAAGTTGTTGCTGAAACTCATTAACAGTTGTAACCACCATTGCAAGAAATCATTGCTTATTTTTGTCAAAGCAATCATGCCTGTTAATCTTTCAAGGTCTGGCTTCCTTTAACCTGCTGGTGGCAATATAAGCGACATCATGGGACTGGGGTATCATACATTAGAGAAACATGACTGAGCAAAGGACAGGATAGCAGTTCAGTGCTTGGGGTATAGATGCTATAGGAAGGATAGAAAGGGAGGCAAAAGAGGAGGGGGAGTGGTGTTTTGGATGAGGGAAAACATCTTGTCTGTACTTAGAGAGGATATTCCTAGGGAATCCTCTACTGAAGCTATATTAGTGGATGTCAAATATAAGAAGGGGATAATCACCTTGATGGGATTGTATTATTGGGCTTCCAGTAGTCAGCAGGAAGCTGAGGAACAAATATGTAGAGAGATCTCAGGTATGTGTAAGAATAATAGGGTTGTAATAGTAGGGGATTTTAACTTAGACTGGAATTGCTATATGTTAATAGCTTGGATGGGGAGAAATTTGTTACATGTGGTCAAGAACATTTTCATTATCAGTGTGTAGATGCATCTACTAGAGAAGGAGTAAATCTTGACCTTCTCTTGGGACATAAGGCAGGACAAGTGACTCAAGTGTTACTGGGGGAGCACTTTGGGACTGTTGATCATAATCCTATTAGTTTTAATTTATGTATAGAAAAGGATAGGCCTTGTACAATAGTTAAAGCTCTAAATTGAAGTAATGACAATTTTGATGGTATGAGACAGGAAATTTTAAAAATTGATTGGGATGGACTGTTCACAGGTAAAGGGATGACTGGCAAGTGGGAGGTTTTCAAAAGAGATAACTAGAGTTCAGAGACCGTATGTTCCTGTGAGAGTGAAAGGCAAAGTTGGCAGGAGTGGGGAACATGGATGACTAGAGATATTGAGGCTCTATTGAAGAAAAAGAAGGAATTATATGTCAGGTATAGGCAACTGGGATCAAGTGAATCTCTTGAAGAATGTAAGAGGAGAAGGGGCATTCTTAAGACTGTAATCAAAAGGGCAAAAAGGGGATATGAGATAGCCTTGGCAGATAAGCTTAAGGATAATCCACGCTAGGGAGAGAATAGGGCCCTGTAAAGATCAACAAGGTCATCTATGTGTGGAATTGCCGGAGATGGGAGAGATCCTAAACGAATATTTACTGCAGAGAAAGACATGAAAGCTAAGGAAATAGTCCACATTAGGGAAGAGGACATGTTGGAAGTCTCAAAAAGCATAAAGTCAGATAAATGTTTGAGACCTGATCAAGTATATCCGAGGACATTGTAGGAAGCTAGGGAAGAAATTGAGGACCTCCTAGCAGAGATATTAGTTTCATCTACAGCCACGGTGAGGTGCTGAAAGACTGACAGGTGGCTAATGTGCCTTTATTTAAGAAAGGCTGCAAGGAGAAACCTGGGAACTACAGACCGGTCAGTCTGACATCAGCGGTGAGTAGGTTGTTGGAGGGGTTTCTGAAAGACAGAATTTACGTGCATTTCGAGAGTCAAGGACTGATTATGGGTAGTCAGTTTAATTTACATAAATACAGAATGTTGCACTGTGGTAAGACAAACAAGGGCAGGAGTTACACAGTTAATGGTAGGCCCTGGTGAGTGTTGTTGAACAGAAAGAGCCAGGGGTTGAGATACACAGTTCCTTGTAAGTTGTGTCATTGGTACACATGGTGGTGAAGAAGGTGGTTGCCTTCATTGCTGAGACCATTGAGTATAGAGTTGTGATGTCATGTTGTGGTTATACAGGACATTGGTGAGGTCACTTGTGAGTACTGTGTACAGTTCTGGTTGCCCTGCTATAGGAAGGATATGATTGAATTGGGAAGGGTGCAGAAAAGATTTACAAAGATGCTACTGGGACTGGAGGGTTTGAGTTATAAAGAGAGACTGGATAGGCTGGGAATTTTTCACCAGAGGTTGAGGTTTATAAAATTATAGGGGCCAGAGATAAGGTGAATAGCTAAAGTCTTTTCCCTAGGGTAGGGGAGTTCAAAACTAGGGAGCATAATTTTAAAGTCAAAGGAGAAAGATTTAAAAGACGCCTGAGGAGCAACTATTTCACACATAGGATGGTTTGTAAGTGGAATGAACTGTCAGAAAAAGTGGCAGATGCAGGTACAGTTTCAACATTCAAGAGGCATTTGGACAGCAACATGAATAGGAAAGATTTAGAGAGATTTGGGCCAAGTAGGGGCAAATGTGACTAGTTTGGTTTGGGAAATTGGTTCAGCATGGACGAGTTGGATCGAAGGGTCTTTTTCCATGCTGTATGACTCTGATTCTATGTCCCTATCTTGTATTTGCAGCACCCTGCTGTATACAGGAAGTCACATGATGAAACATGATGTTATTTCTTCCCGCCAGAGCTGAGCGGACAGAGTCAACACGAGGTTTGCACAGGTTACAGCTTTCTCAAAGTGCTATGTCCCATTCCCTGTGCATATGTTGCCTTTCCTGCTCCTCATCTGAACTCAGCTGAAAGAAGTTGCATTTCCTTAGTGTGTAGCTAACATATAGTCATAGACATTGCATCATGCAGGTGAATGCCCATCATCCTGGCAACAATTTGCTCCTCAGAGGTCCTTTGTTCCATTAATATTGAACCATCATG